CCCTAAAGCCCTAAACCCTAAAATTAGTAAGGATGCTTACAGCAACAACGGGGAGGACCGACGGTCTGTGTTGGAAACTTCAGGCATTTCCAGGCAGCCTTTGAGCAACACAGTTTCTTAGGGTTTAGGGTTCAGGGGTTTAGGGTTTAGGGTTTAGGGGTTTAGGGTTTAGGGTTTAGGGTTTAGGGGTTTAGGGGTTTAGGTTTTATTAGGGGTTTAGGGGCTTAGGGGTTTGGGTTTAGGGGTTTAGGGGTTTAGGGTTTAGGGTTTAGGGTTTTGGACCATGCTGAACCACAATGAGCATTTTTGCATGTCTTATCCGTTGTGCACAAAGTGAGCCTTGTGTTTGAACCGTCTCCAGGCAGTTCTGCGTGCTACCAGTTCCCATGGTTCGGAGTGAGTAGATATACGTGAAGACTCAGCAACACAAAGCAGGACATGCCAATCTGGCTTCTGTACACCAGCGGCGTTGTTGCGACAGCTGCCAATTCAGTGATTCTTGGCTGTCAGTGGAAGTATGTTGACCTTCAAGACCCTAAGCCCTAACCCCTAAACCTAAACCATAAAGTGCCCACAGCCTGCTTCAAGGTTGCACTACGGCTATGAGCCAATAAGCGCTGCGCCGATGCACCAGGGCTACTTTTCAAGAGAGGCTCCCCCCCCCACCCGTGAGCTTCTTTAGCATGGTTCAGTCGTGGTTGGATTCTGGCAAATCTCAGCTACTTGGGTGGTTGTCAAAATTATGGTCCCTTTTTGGGTCCTGATTATAATACGGCACCTATCATTTAGGGTACCCCAAAGGGGACCCTAGTTTTGACAACTACCACTTGCAGTTCAGTGTCATGCCTAGGTTTTCGGCTCCCAGCGGCGAGCTTCTTGCATCCAAACATCCCAAACTGGCATGGACAGTTGTGGCCAAAGTGGCCGAAGAGCATCGCTCAATTTCTCCAACGTTTCGAATCACTAAGCGTCTAAAGTCTTGAGGTTCAGCAGACGTGCAAACTGCTCTTCGAATCCGACCTGATATTCAGTTTGACTTGCTATTGCCTTTCCATTGCTAGTCGTTTGCAATGTATCGTCGGCATTCTACTTGTCTTGATACATGGATGTTAGATGCAGAAGCTCAGCAGACAGTTTGTTGTCATGCATCAGACAGCAGTGCACTCACAGAAGTCTTTCGTCGAAGGAGTTTGGCGGAATGGTCAATAGTGGCACAAGGGCGAGTGGGGCTCGCAATGTCTAGTGGCTGAAAGAAAATGTGAGTGTTACGATCAGCCTTGCAGGAGTTTACAGCAGAATTTTTGACACACTGACCGAGCCATTCGCGGAAGCTGTGCGGAAGCGAATTCTGTCCAATCCCCCATCCCTCTTTCGCAGTCGTACTTTCACAGCACAAATCAAAAACCATCCAACTTTCCAAAGCCCAGCCATGCAGATTTCAGTTTGACATCATGGCCGCGTTGAAACTTGGAGTTCTATATAGAAATGAGCTCTTGGAATCGTGTTTGCCATCAGAATGAGCTCGTGAAACCAGGTTCTGTCCATAGGGATGAGCTTGGAACACCGTGCTTTGAGTTAGACAGGACCTAGTGTTGTATAGGGATGGGCTTGCGATAGTGCAGCTGTCTACGCAAGGTGGATTTACGCTTATCCATAGCGTTGCAAAGAACTTGAGTTTGCCATGCATATTTTTTTAGCACTACATTTGTGGAAGCTTGCGGAAGCCCTTTATTCTGCTACACTTGAGAGACTTTGCAGTGACGGCCGATGTATTTGTTTCCACCTAGAATCTGAGCAAGGGTTTCGGTAACCGCTTACATGACGAACTGACTGATGGACGTAGATGATCACTGTGGGTTTTACACATTGCACCCTCACATGTGCACCTCTGGTTTTCTCTCGGAGGCCGTGGTGGAAGGCCAAAGCAGCCGAAATCGGCGCGAACTAAATGTTGGCAGCTTTCTAGCAGCAGAGGCCCAGCAGGTTTGTTGTTGACATTTTGGGCCAGTCGCCACAAGTACAGCGATTATCATGAGTACCAACATGAAGACTATTGTGTAAATCATGAGTATGACTGCTTCGATTGCGATGCTGTTCACCATGTTGTCTAACCTTCTTATCCTCGTGGCTTTAAGAGTGAATCACATGAGCTGATGGGCCCTAGGCGCTAAGCGGTCAGGAATTGGGCATGAGCCTAAGATGGAAGCATCTCTCATAGCGTTAGGGTTTAGGGTTTAGGATTTATAGGGCTTAGGGTTTCAGGCTTAGGGTCAGAGAACTACGGCGTCATACTTGCGTAAGTAGCAGGTTTGGCGACTGGGCCGCAACGTTACAGCTCTGGAGCTGGGATGCGGCAATGGGCAGCTGTCTTACAGCCTGAGCCTGGGACAGACAAGGGGCTGAGGTTTGACGTCGAACCCTATACCCTAAACCCTGAACCCTAATTAGGCCCGGATGAAAGTAATGGCCGATGGGTGGATTCGGATGTAAGGCTCGAAGCCAGACACAAGGGTGCAAACTGAAGTTAGGCCGTGTTGAAAGTTGTTGAATGTTATAACGACAGCTTCATGCGACCCAAACATAGTTTGTTGTAAAATCATCACCCCCCCAAGAAGAAGCATGTGCAACTGATCCATCTGCTAGAGAAGCGCAAGAGAAAATGAGAAACAGAGGAACACGATACCTGGGCTTCGCTGCATTGGCCTGGATGGCTACAAGGCAACCTGCAGAGCTGCAAAGGGCTGGGGGGAAATGTGTGTCTACATTTGTCAGAGACTCCTTGGGCTTAGGGTTTAGGGTTTAGGGTTTAGGGTGGCTCTTGGTTTTTGCAAAAGGTGACTCCTTCCGTTCAGCAGCCGATCGACTCACCAGAAGCAACTTCACACATAAACCGGTGGCATCACGTACTGCGCATCTACGTCCTTTGGTTCCAAAGCCCCCTACGTCTTACACTCCCCTAAACCCTAAACCCTAAACCCTAACCCCTAAACCCTAAACCCCTAAACCCCTAAACCCTAAACCCTAAAGCCCTAGACCCTCAACCCCTTCATGGCCTTTGGTAGGCCATCCGCAATCTGGGCAGCAACTACCGACAGTGGGACCTGCAGACTTTCTTCCCGATGGAGGTCGCGGCCATCAGCAACTACGGTGGATGATCATAAA